AATATCACTGTAATGAGTTTGGGCATGGTATCTACACGCATCACTGATGAGCCGTTCTAAGCAAAGCCACACGTGTTTCTACGCAGCAGCTGAAAAGTTTGGGTGGCCATCAATAATCTGTCGTCTTTGGATTTAAAGTGAGAGAGAGAAGCAGCGAAGAGAGTGGATGACTTTTTACTCCGCCCGAAAATGTGGTGGGAGGGTGCTAAAATGAAATGTATGAGGGCAGCGGCGAGTTGGGACGCGTCTTTGGAGAGAAAAGGTGGAGGACTGGACTCACCGTGTTTTCATTCATCTCTATAGGGGATCCATAGACTTGTCGGCCTGTTTTCCTGTCACTCTCGGTGGAGGAGTCTCAGTGGGTTCCTTGACTCCCGGCCTGTTGATCATCGGACAGCCTGCCAACCATCCAATGTGCGTAAAGGGGCTCAATTTCTTCACCGTCCTGTCTGGACTTGCAGCTTCAGGTGAGACTGTGCTTCGTGTATGTGGATAATCTGAGGTAACAAAAGGTTATTTAAATGTCTTTTAAAATTCAACCAGTGACACATTGATCTGATTGTTCAGTCTAAATGCAGTCTCAAAAAATAAAAGTATTACTTTAACAGTAAAAGTAAAAAGTAAGAGCTGTCTATATCTACTTGGTCACTACTATGTAAAAGTTTAAACTGCCAGCGTTTTTTAAACATCCTTAGAGTGATCCTAAGACACAACAGGATGGCCTTTTAAGCACTCTTCCGACAAAAGATTAAATTAGAAAAAATGACCTCTAATCTACATGTCTGAGCGCCAGTTGTGCGTCACTGGGAAGCAGAGTCCTTGGCACAGTGGTCCCTGGTGGGTCGCGGCAGAATTCCTGTGAACGCATTAAATCAGCCACAGAGGGAGACACTTCTAACAGCACAATGGCTTTACAGTATTTGTGTTTTAATTTCGTGCAACCTCACTTCCTGTCTATTAAAGTGCAGCCGTGCTTACTATGCGATGGGGCCTAGATAGCTTCCTGTGCAGGGGGGGTCTAGGATAGGACCATAACAACTTGTCAAATACACACAACTAAACATTAATGGATCATATACGTTTGTTATAGCTGCTCACATTTAATGCTAATGGCATGGCTAATGGAGCATGTTTTAATAACATGGATTGGCGCATCAATGCAATTCATTCAGCAGATGCCTTGCTGTTTAACCTTGACATTATCTGTGTCCATCCCATTTAAGTGGATTATATTGATTGAACATGTCCATCCACTGCCAAAGCACCATGTAGGGATTTGCTATAGTAGCAAACTGCTTATGTTTACAAGCAGCATGTGCCTGCAAATCAGTAGTAACTCAGTCACAGACGGAGCAGGAGGAGGACTGAATATACTGTGTGTATAGAGGGACAGATAATCAAATAACAATGTGTGGATTGAGAAGAGAAGCTCAGCAGCATCTCACTTCTGGCATCTTTTATGCTGTAATCACTTCCACTGCCTTTGGCTTTACTGTGTTGGCACAACAGCCCAACATGACGAATAAAGCCAGCAGGCTACTCATCTTCATGAGACATGTATGGTGTAAAATCAGAACTGTATGTGCAAAATACTTGGTATTCATTTCTCTCTGGTCTCATTTCCATCCCTTCAGGTAGACCAGATAAATGACATTAAAGCAGCACAAAGATAACACATTTACCCATCAGGCCTCTGCTGTTTTGACATGCATTTCATTGGTTAAAGACATTTAGTATTCATTTGCAAACTATTTTTAAGCAAATACAGACCAAACAGAATAGCATCTGTCTCCTCTTGCTGCTCCAAACATAATCACACCAAGTGTTGCAGTGGGGGGGAATCATTCATCACTTTAAATATGTGCTATTCCTTTGTGTATTTTGTAAAGTGGGTTTGGCAGGTATTTAAAAAGTACTATAAATCATAATTTGTGTCAGGATACTTTTGGGAGCAAGGTTTTTGCTTTTCACAATACAAAAATGTCATTTAATTCTAGAACAGGCATCGTCATTTCCAGATGTGAACTTTTTATATTCTTGTGTTGTGATAGATGAAAAATGAAAAGACTTGTGGTGGTGGAGGCAAAGCATCTCATGAGTAAGAATGACTAGAATTATCGCTTTGTGGTTGTATGCCTCCGCCAACCAGTCAAACTCACAGGTATGGGACAGGAGTGACCTCACTGACCTTTATCTTTGACCACCAAAATCTAATCAGTTCATCACTCGGTCCAAGTGGACAGTTGAGCCAAATTTGAAGAAATTCCCTCAAGGTGCTCCTGAGATATTGCATTCAAAAGAATGGGCCATACAGATGGCAGTAGGGATGGATGGATGGACACCCCGAAAACATAGCATCTCCTCCGGCTGCAGCTATCAACGGCACAGACGCATAAAAACAGAACGTCTAGTGTCGGGAGACCATACTTTGACATGTTTTTGCACAGTTTGCAGGAAAAGTCCTTTTTTTTTTTTTTAAATCTGTTGGGCCATCAAAACATTAATTCACTTTTTTTTGAAACCCGTTATCCAGTCCTGGGCAAACAAACCAGCATCCTATCAGCTTTTTCCAGGCCCCATGATTGTCTTGGGTATTTCCCCACTTTTCTGGGAAATAACCAAACCGGGATTGAAGCACATAGTAAATAGAATATTCAAAAGAGTGAATCAGTTGATTAATGAAAAAGCTAAAAATAGAGTAGCTGTCGCTGATGTCTAGTGATACTGTAGCTGTGGGATTTGGTCCATCTCCTGTAGAGACTGTCATGAAGTATTTATATTAAGTATATGATTTTTGAACTGTAAGCAGAAGTCTGAGGATAGCCAGACATTTCTTATAGAATATCATTTTTTTCAAGAAAATGTGAAAAATGTGCAGCTTCTTCATTGTCTTCATATATATGATAAGCTTTTGTGAAAGATAATGTAATTGGGTAGCAGTTTACATTTACATAACACACATTCTTGGATTCAAAACTGGAAAGACTTAGCCTCAGGGACTGGATAATGAAAAAGGGAAACACACTGAAAATGCCTGATTAGATTTAACAGTTTGTACAAAATGACTCTCATTTCTTCTCTGTTTTGACCAAACATATGAGGCTAAAATTTGTTCATCCCCTGCTGTTGAGGGTAACCAGGAACATGAAATGTGCAGAGGCCGACGTGCGCTTACATGTCCTCTTACACACATGTGAGCAAATGGCTGTTGTTGACTGTAGCGTAACAGGCTCTTACATTAGTTGTTTAGGCTTTAGTTTAACTCTATCGGATTCACACTAAACAAACAACTTCTTGTATCTGTTTACTGGGATAAGACGGCTATCTCTCAGCCATGGCGTCCCTAATTCCTCCATTATCATAGGTCAATGTAACAAAGCATGGCTGTGGTTTTTGGTGTGTGTACTGTGTTGATACAGAGAGGAGGATGTCTGGCCTTTGAGTTGGATTGATGCGATTTGCCTGGACGTGTGTAGAAGTGACATGTTTATATATTCAAGCATGCACCAATCCCTGACTCAGAAAGCTTAGGACACAACTGAAGTGTGAAGGGAAGGCACTCCGTGTAATGTTTAAATCATAAGACTCCGCTGGGCTACAAATGTAAACAAGGATTTGAAACACATTTATAACGGAATAGAAAAAGGTTGTGTTTGAAAGTTCATTCATATTGGAGTGTCTGTGCATATACACTGAAACTGTGAAAATACAAAATGGGCTTCATTCTTCTTATGTCCTCTCCATTAGCTGGTCACTTATTTTCAAAGCTATTTAGATTTGTGGTAAACAGGTAGATCTTTTAGTCTCGTGGCATATGGAAAAAAAACCCCCAGTTTCCAAAGAATACCAGAAAGTCTTTGAGTCATTTGATCTGCACAAAGCCAAGAGAAGCTTCATCATTAGTTGCCATTTACTGAATAATTTAGGATTAAATACAGAAGAGCGATGATGGTGATAGATTTTCCAAGCTGCGGGAGTTGTTCTGTGACTCTGTCTTAATTTCCTTCTCTTTATTTAATATCTGGCTTCTGTCTGTACTCGCATAAATCCAGCCATTGTTGTTGTTTAAAATCCTGACCAGTATATTGAAAGAGTAACAGACACCTGCTTATTTGGTTTTGCCCACTAATTATCTGACACCGTACTCAGCTATTTAAACAAATGTGAGTTAAGGAGAGAGAGATTAGCTGGTGGGGCAGATAAAGGCCAGGCTCCAAAGGTTTGTTCACACTTGTACTCTTGAATATTTCCCTCCATGTCTCTTTAATTTCTGTTGAAGCCCATGTGACTAACATTGCTCTGGAACATTTACAAAAATAGCACAGCAGTTCAATGTCCTTCCATTTGCCATTTTTCTTCTACAGTACATAAAGGAGGAGCACCACTTCTAGCGTCCTTTATCCTTTTGCCACTTCAGCTCTGACTGACTTCAGTGATTTGTATCACATTTTCATTACATTTGCACAATCATAAAAAAAAAAAAAACATGAACAGTTGCAAAATCAAAGTACTGACTTAATAATGTCAGTTACATGAAAATCTCTCTCTAAAACTTACTAACAGTTGCCACCGGAAGCTACTGGTCATTCCAGAGTAAGTATGACTATAGCAGTAAAACCCTTAAGTGTGTGCAGTTTAGTACAAGTTCATTTAGTTGCATATTAATGCAGATTTTCATCTGTAAGGGGAATGCGTTCTTTATTTTTTTAAAGTTACATTGTCTTACTTTAAAAGACCCTCTTCAAAGCCACAAAGACACTATACAACTGTTACTCCGGAGTACTTTTAAAATGAAATTGTAAAATCAATGGCATGCCCCTTTAAGGCAGAACGTAAAGAGGTGGAAGTCGCAGTGGGACTGGATTCACTCTGACTCATACCACTGCAGGATACTAAACATATGGCTGTCTTAGTTTCATAGTAAATATGTGAAGCTGTGTTGGACTGCTCACCCAACAGAAACCTGTGAGTTGGATTGAGGTGTACACATTGGATCTCCCTTTGTAATCCCAGCGAGTTGTTGTTGTTGAGTCAGCTGCGAGGTGGGAGTGGAAGAGGTTTGATGGATTAAACTCTTATCCCCACTCACCTACTGCATGGTTCCTCTGGACACCAACACCTGATGAATTATAATTGGCCCTGAACAAAGAGGAGGAAGTGAAAAGAAGGAAAGGAAATAAGTATTTCAAAAAGAGACTGATGCTAGCTTTCTGGACTGACCTTTAGACTGCTTACAGATACACTTTTGTAGTTTTCTGTAATTTGTTATACATCGGTAAGGTTAAGATAATAGGGTTTTTTCTTCATAAACAAAGAGTGATTCTCCTTATACTTCAGCTTTATTTGGATTAATAGACATGAGCAAGGATAGTTACCATGGATGAAAGAAAACTGCACAACCTAGAGGATGTCAAACTCAACAGATCCAAGGAAGGTTCTGTCTAATCTTTGTGATATGTGGGAAGTA